TTAGTCAGGTCAACTTCAAAAGTAATGTCTTATATTTTAAAGTTGGTTGTTCAATGAAAATTAATTTCTGTACAAAACTTTTCATTTGAGTACTACTCGCAGAAAAATTGATGTTACAGGGATTTCAACAACCTCGTTTAAAGTCAGCATATATGATCGTTATAATGACCTTGTTATCGAATATAACTATCACTGGATCGTCTCTCGGCTGATGCATTTCATATCAACTGTTTGGCCTTTGTTTTTAAACTAAATTTGACTACAGAATATTCCGTCTACTTGATCAGTACATAGGGCTCACCGGCGGGGGTGTAATTGGTCGACAGGGCATGCTTATTCATCCTAGGCATCTGATCCCACCTCTGGAATTTCCGTGGGTCCGTGTTTATGCCCTTTTCACAGATTGGTATTGTTCATAGATTTTTTTTTAGATCGATCACTGTTCGTTTTCTTCACCTTTTTCATTCACATACAATAATTTCGATTCAAGATTGTGGATTTGGCTCATAGGACAAGCATACATTTTATGACTTTTCACCCAAAGATTATGTATGCTGTTGGACTAAAGAATTTTGTTTGATACCACTTCATTTAAAATGTCACTTCATCGATCGTTCGTATACTACAGCAGTACATATAGTATAAAGTTCACTCGTGTTTTTTCCCCTCTTTTCGTCGAGATAACATACCCCAGATGGTTTTAAAAGGTCACGATTCGGAAGTTCCTCCAAAGGGTGATATTGAAAAAAAAATTCCGGAAATTGTTTGCATCCGGGTTATATAAAGGGATTGATGTTCAATTAATTGATCCATTATTAAATTATTTTCGAAGGATTAGTTTCACTACATACATTATCTACAATATTATAAAGGTCACGTCACATCTCTAGAGCCATTGCTGTAATTGATAACGATATTAATTAAATCTGAACAAGGTCACAAATTGGAGTCGTCTAGTTCACTGATGATGAAACATGTAACATAAAAACATGTGTACTTTTATAAGAAATATATATGCCTTACTAGAACTGAACAAGAATGTTCCAAGGAACGCAAATATATGTACCTTCTATAGCATCATTAAAGACAGAAAAAGAATAATAAGTTCAAGTGCGTGCATTTCTTTTAATAAAGTTCGAACATGCGAAGAAAAAACATTCAAGGATAGTAAGACTGCGATAGACTAGTTTTTAATGCGACAATCAAATATATAATAAATATGATTCCTCAATCCTCAAGGCTTAAATAAATATTTTTTTTAAATATTTGTTCATTAATTCAATTCATACACGTTAGTTTTCACTGCAATTTTGCTTGAATTACCAACCCAAGCCATGCAGTATAACGAACCAAATTTATTTTCATATAATTAACGGAATGCATTTAAATTTCAGTTTGTGTGGTAAATATATATCATTAAAAGTAAAGCGGCATGAGGTCATAAACATGTAATATATAGAGGATATTCAATGTTTTGTAGATGAATATGGATTTTATTTCACGAGTGGGAACAGGATTTTTTGATATTTTCACGAGTGCGAAGCACGAGTGAAAATATAAAAAAATCCTGTCTCACGGGTGAAATAAATTCCATATTCATCTACAAACATTGAATTTTCTGTTTATTACATTTTCTTTGATTTTCCCTTTGCCTCTGTCTTTTCTTAACACTGTCAAAGGCTTGACGTCATAGTTGAGCGGTTGAGACGTCATAGCTTAGCGCTGCAGTTATGTGATTGAAAACATTACATAGCATGGATTTTAACAACATGTTTGGGAAGAAATTTGCAGTTTTAGCTCTATCAAGATGCTTAGTTAATATCTCTATCCTATGACAGGCCAGAGATTATTTTTTACTTACTTTGATATCCTTTCACACTGTGAGAGAATATCATTTTGGTATCCTTTCACACTGTGAGAGAATATCACTTTTATTCAATAAATAAATCACGGTATTTCAGTGTTGAAAATGTAATAAATAGTTATCAAAATCTCTCAAAATTCAAAAAGTCAAGTGCTTTTAACGCTGATATTTTCTTCTTCAAATTCTTACGACAATCAGTGAACATGCTAAATAACATAGATTTACCTCTTAAAGGTCAAAGAATATGTTTATATAATGGAACAATGGTGCATTTTGAAAAGTAAGATAAAAGTCAAGTTCAAAGGTCACGAGGTTTAATTATCTTCATTTCTGGCTTAACCACGTACATGTACTACATGTAGCATAGGGAAAAAAATTAAATCAATTAAGATATTTTCTCAGATTCATCAAAATTTTGTCAAAAAGAAATTAGAAAACAACTCTAAAAGCTGGTCTGTAGGGGGCCAATACAGGAATAGACATATTAATATGGTTTTACGCATGGTTTTGATACATATACCAGCTGATGAGGGCTATATTCGTTCAGAATTGGCGTATACATATTTTCTTATATATAGTGAACGTGCAGTGTAAATAACCCTAAATAGGATTATGAAAATAATGTCAGATGAGACATCTTTTGTGTGTGTGTTAATTAAAGGAACAATCTGCTTTCCACAACTGAGTGGTTGTCGGATTTACATATCCGAAAAACTGACAGACCCCACTCGAAAAAGGGTAGCCAAAGTAAGAAAGTGCACTCAAGTCATAATTGTGCATTTGATAAATTGCATTAATACATGAATAGTCATATCAATGTCAAATAATGTGGCTTGTCAAAAGGACAATGCTGCTTTATAGAGAAGCACTTCAGATTGTACAAATAATAAAAATTCTGAGGAGTTAGTACTCGATGGCATTTCTGCTTCTGACTGATTATGGTACAAGGACATTTTCATTGAACTCTCCATAAAGCCAGACGATGGAGTTTGCAATTGTCGTTCTTTAGTCTGCTTGTTGTAAAGCGATAGCATTACTATTGCCAGCTAGTACCCAGGCTAATGACTATTGTAAGCAAAAATGGAGCATTTAACAGCAATCAACTTTATCATATTCATCTCGATATGAATTCATATGATGACGTCATTTCATTATGGCCGCCTTCATCTACCCAAGTTTTAAATTCTATAGATCGGTTCTGCCAAGAGTTCCTTTGGTTCAGACTTTTAATTTCTTTCGGAAAGCCGACAGAATTTATTATGAAACATCAAGTGCAGACATGCATTTCATAAAGAAAGAACAGGAAATGCAAAAAAAAAAAAAAAAAAAAAAAAAAAAAAAGCAGTTGAAAATGACAGAGCCATCAAAAGTGGGAAAGGGAGTTTTTCATTCAAACCATCACAGAACATTACGTACAAAATTAGTATTTAAAATGTTTTAGGGTTCCCTCAATTACAAAATTACTCTTTCATTCAGTAAATTGTTTCTTTGACACACTAACATTTCCTTAACAAATTGCATATGGATTCTATGTCAATCTGCATGCTTGCTTTTATTTCATTTTTATTTTATTTTTACTTCAAAGATAGTGGACTACCATAATTGTTTTATAATAAGGAAAGAAAAATTCCATGCAGTTCAGAAGATTTGTTTTATTTAAGAGCTGCGCATGCATGCATGCATGAATAGTTAATTCCTGAATTTTTAGTAACTTCCACCAATGAGGAAAAAGAAGGTCGCCGTTACTATAAAACGAACTTAGGGGTGATATGCTTTTTTTCCCCTGCTTTCGTGAAAGCGCATGCAGGGACATTAAATCTCATTCGTCTGCCCGTCTGTCCATCTTTCAGTAGTCTGTCACAAAAACTTTTACTTTCAAATGAGAAAAGATAGGGTTTTCATATTTCGTATGTATATTACCTGTGACAAACGTCTCCAAATATACTATATTTTTTTAACCCGTGACTTTGGCCTTGAAGTTTGACCTACTTTTCAAAAAGTTTAACATTTAACTTTTGAGCAAGGGAGGATACGGAAATCGTATTTGACATATGCATTACCTGTGACAAGACCTTTCCAAATATACATGTACTATGATTTTTGACCCTGTGTCCTTTAAGGTTGGCCTAATTTCAATAATTTTATTATTGGTGATAACATTTGAATTTAATTATCAAAAATTTTAATTTTGGCCAGAACTTTTGACTCAGAACAGACAGGGATCTTATGTTTTGTTTGCTGTTTTTCACATCTGCGTTATCTTGATAAGATCATTCAGATTGCATTGTGATATTTGACCTCATGACTTTGGTCTTGAAGTTTGGATGCAGTTTTAAGAAACTTGAATCGTTCTTTGCCTTAACTTTATTTAAATTTTTTTTTTATGGTTGTACAGACAAGACAGGGCACACTGACAAAACAGTTACAATATGTCATAAATGACTGCATCCCAACTACAAAGTCACCGAGATCAGGGAACCACAATTCTTTGAATTTGTTTGCTTCTGTTTGCAGCTCATGCACACATAGCCCGCAATGCAACTAACAAACTAAAAACGGATTTGCATGCAGCTGAAGACGTTTCACGACTTTTCGCATCTGCGCACTAGCCGTACGGAACCCAGTGCTTACTCAAAAGCCAACCTCAAGCCAGTTTTAAACGTTAAGAAAAGCACTTTTTTAAATTTAGTTTACCTCTTTGATGCAGTACTCTGCATTAACAACAGTAATTTTAAGGTTTTCAGAGTTGGACTTTCTACGTGTATGTTATTTAGGACAGATGATATAAACTTTCCTTGAAAATCAAGAAAATAACAGCCACTTTTCCATAAGTAAAATGAATACTTAAGTTTAGCCGCATAGATTATAATTTTTCATTCAAAGTTTCACAAGATGAAAAGTATAGATTCATAGAGTGACAAGGTAGAATTTTAAACATCATGGAAAGTTTAAAATTTCCTAATACTGTAGACGTTTGATATTTGCATCATTTACAAGCAAAATAGGTCCAAATTAATCCAGACATCATTTTTTGGGGGGTATTATCTGTCCTTAAGTATTCTGAGAAATGTTACATGTAGAATTACTTTTGCCCTTGTATTAACATGTTATTAATCAGAAATAATCAAACAACAAATGAAGACATCAAATTGTTTTATTTCTGGTTAACAGTATCAAATAACAATGACTATTTCAAGTAAGCCCCAAAACCCTACAATTTCCTTACTGCCAGTGTCATGTCTATCATATTAAATGTGATTTTTTAAATTGAAAAACAGTGTCTGTGTTTATAAAACCAAAAACCACCTCTTGACAATCCATACTTATCTAAGATATTTTAAAGGGATGATAGGGAACAGGTTTTACAGTATAACTGCCTGAAATGTTCACCAAATGCTGTACACATGTCCTAGTACGTATATGGGGGGTTCTTGCTTGAATACATTACAATATCACAGATATTTCAAATTCTGTTCAAAATGTATAGTTATGATGTCAAAGACATCCAAACATATCATATGAACCTTTAAAAATTCTAAAGATCAAATAAAAGCATGCAACAAAACAACGAATTCCTACATTAACGACATTCGCACAACATCGTCATGTCTACCTACATTAACGACATTCGCACGTCATCATTTCCCCTTCAGGATTCCAAAATATGTCATAAAGAGGAATAAAAATCCACAGTAGGGGTAAAAGGTCATCTAAAAATAATTTGTGTGAATTAAGGAATATTTTTAACCAACTTTTCAACATAGGACAAAATCAGAGGCTCATGGGCCACACTGCTCACTTTACACTTCTTGTTTTCTTTCTGACACTACATAACATGTAATCCCTTAATGAACTAGCAAAGTGTGTCAGAGATCCTGTTTTTCTTTCAAATTAATGTCTTGAAGTTTGTGTATGAAAAGTTCATATACATATATTTAAAAAAATCTGAACCTCCACTGTGGCCTTATCATCACAGAGGGCATTTCTGTATAGAATACACGAGGACACTAGTACATGTATTTTAATTTGACTAACTCCATGAATTCTACTTTTTCTGCAATCACATCTTCCTGGGCCTTTTCAGCAAGCTCGAAAAACATCTCAATAACTCTAGATTTTCAGATGAACCTATCCTGACCTTAGTAAATAATCTTGATATTACATATTGTCTTTCATTTGCAGAAACTTAAATTCTATCAACTGAGGATGCTTCACGACAAGTCTGATTCAAAATGGTGAAGTGGTTCAAGACGTGAAAGTTACCAAGAACACAGACAGACAATGAAAAAAAAAACTTTGGAAAGAAGAGTTTACTTAAGCCTTTGACTGAGATGATCCAGTAGAGTAAAATCTAATCAATGGTTATGATAATGACAAACTCACAAACTGGTTCTGAACTAATTATGGAAAAATTTAAAATAACTTAAAATTTTTGCACAAATGTTGGAATATTATAGTATGTATATAATACACTGTTAAAACATAATGTAAAATGACTATCTATTAAAATCCTGCTCTAATCACTGGAGCCTCTTAAAGAGAAGTAACTGTGACTAAATTTACCTAGTGTGTTTACTAATCAATAATCTATTTAAAAATTTCATTCTAAAAATTTTTACAACATGTACAATGTATACATATTTAGTAACTTAAAATTAAATCAATTAACTTGCAAGCAAAAGCAGAAATTTTATAAAAGCTTTAAAAAAATCTTTTCTTTTTTTTTTAAAGCCAACTAAAGAGCACAATATCAAAGAACATTTATGTACTTTTATCTCCGGATCAGAGAAAATTAATCATGTACATATCCTTCCTCTCTCAACCTAGCAGTAAATATCAAACATTATACACTGAATGCTTCACTGATGTAATAATTGATCTTTTGCATTATAGAGAGAAAGAGATTGGAACATTTTAATAATCAAATATTTCCCTTTACACAAAGAGCTTCAAAGTCCTGTAATTAATTCGTGCATTATTGAAAAATTATTTGTCCTAAGAATTACAGATTATCAATATTAAGTGGCAGGAGGAAAAAAAATGACATGATTATCATTCAATCAACCATTGATTTGTAATAACAGAATTTGCTGCTAATTAATTTTAAATTTATATATACTTGTCCTGCTTCACTCTCCCTGTCCATAGCTTTCCATATATACAAAAATCCACAGACATCAGATAGTAACCCTACTGTGACAGAATTGATAGGAATCTACATATCTTGAAAATTCTATTAAAAATCATAACATTCCATTGAAATTGTACCAGCAACTTATGCTTAAAAATTCAAATAATTATGTTTTTTCCTTTGATAATTTAAAGGACTTAGTCCGATGACAACCACTGACAGATTGTTTTTTGTAGCTTGACATGTCTGGATTAATGTTAATGGATTACAGAAAATCAGATTTCTTTTCTCCATTCTTTTTCGTCGTGTTCACTGGCCTTAATTAATTCATCCCCTGGGTCATCATCATCATCATCATCTGCAAGACAAAGAAAAAAACATATTTTTCACCACTTATCGCTTATACTTTCAAAAAGGGGATTACATCATAAAGCAACATTCAATTTTTCTGGTACTTCAGCCTAGAATCTAAATTGGAAAACTTAACAGATTCAAGGTTAAAAATTGCCTTTTATTCTTACAGTTATTTGGCTTGATGACATTGTAGGAAAATTAATGGAAGTAATATACTGAAAGCTGCAATAACAGCAAGCACAAAATAAATTATATATGTCATGCCTTATTTCTGTAATAAAGCATGTTTATGAACTGTTAGACGTTTCAATTACTTTTCAATAAACACATGAAATAGAGAGAAAAAAGTTTGTTACAGCTGGAAGAATTCTCTTTAAAACATATTTAAATGTGATACAAGTTATTTTTTTTCTTTAAAATAAAATTTTAAAAACTTTTATGGCATCATTTGGGGGCCATTATCCAAATGAGAGATACAATGAAGTGTATTTCTACTTATTTGTCACAGTTCTGATGATATTTAGAAATTTCAGAATTTTTAAAAATCTTAAGATCTCAAGAGAAAATAAGAAAATAATTCAATTAAAACAGGTCAGTTTGATGTATGGTCATTCAGAAAATTTTATGAATAAATCAAGATATCTTAATTTTTTTGTAATTTAAAATTAAACCTCTTTTTTCTCAAAGCTATTCCTTTGTGACGAAAAAAAAGGGTGGATTGTTTAAAGGAACAAGAGGCCCATGGGCCACAATGCTCACCTGAGTAACTTTAGCCCTGCTGTTCTTTACCTGATTTCCCCCCTTGTAATACTTATTGTGGCCCTGCCCTATCCCCCAGGGAATATGATTTAAACAATTTAGAATCTACACTACCTGAGGATGCTTCCACTTAAGTTTCAGCTTTTCTGGCCCAGTGGTTCTTGAGAAGAAAATTTTTAAAGATTTTTCCTATATATTTTAATGTAAAACTTACATTCCCTAATGTGGCCCCACCCTACCCCCAGGGGTCATGATTTGAACAATTTACATTCTACACTACCCTAGGATGCTACCAAATAAGTTTCAGCTTTTCTGGCCCAGTGGTTCTTGAGAAGAAAATTTTTAAAGATTTTTTCTACATATCTCAATGTAAAAATTGGATTCCCGATTGTAGCCCCTCCCTACCCCAGGGGGTCATGATTTGAACAATTTACATTCTACAATACCCTAGGATGCTACCAAATAAGTTTCAGCTTTTCTGGCCCAGTGGTTCTTGAGAAGAAGATTTTTCCTATATATTTCAATATACACGTAAAACTTAGATTCCCTATTGTGGTCCCACCCTACCCCAGGGGGTCATGATTTGAACAATTTAGAATCTACACTACTTCAGGATGCTTCCACATAAGTTTCAGCTTTTCTGGCCCAGTGGTTCTTGAAAAGAAGATTTTTCCTATATATTTCAATGTAAAATTTTGATTCCTTATTGTGGCTCCGCCCTACCCCCAGGGATCATGATTTGAAGAATTTAGATTCTACACTACCCCAGGATGCTTCCATATAAGTTTCAGTTTTTCTGGCCCAGTGGTTCTTGAGAAGAAGATTTTATAATATTTTCTACATATTTCAATGTAAAACATGGATTCCTATTGTGGCCCCACCCTACCCTCGGGGGTCATAATTTGAATAATTTAGAATCTACACTACCTCACGATAATTCCTTAAAAGTTTCAGCTTTTCTGGCCCAGTGGTTCTTGAGAAGAACATTTTATAATGACCCCACCCTATTTTTGTCTTTTCTTGATTATCTCCCTTTGGAAGGGGTCTTGGCCCTTTATTTTAATAATTTAAACTCCCCTTCATGCAAGGATGCTTTGTACCAATTTTGGTTAAAATTGGCCCGGTGGTTCTTGAGCAGAAGTTGAAAATGTGAAAAGTTTACAGACGGAGACGGACAACAGGTGATCAGAAAAGCTCACTTGAGCTTTCAGCTCAGGTGAGCTAAAAAAGAAAGAGGTCTGGAACATGGAATTGATGTAACTGTGTTTTAACAGGCACTGAGATTGATGTCTCTCTCTTCAATCTCTCTCTCTCTCTCATAAACTGACCTTCGTCCAGCAGACTAGTATTGATATTGATGTTGTTTAGTCTCTGCATGATGTCTTCGACCATTTCCTCATCTCCAGCAAAATCCACTCCAGTGTAGGCCTTGTTGGCAATGCAGAAGTCAATGAATCTGGACAGACAGAAGATTCATAGTTAGTTTACATGATACATGGACATTTTGATTAAGCAATAACTAATACATGTAAAGTAGTCAGGTTCTGAATGTATGGGACAGAAACAAGATTTAATGAAAAAAATATACTTAAGGGTTTGGACTTCTGGTCAGGAAATCATACATGAAATTGTTACTCAAACAATTTGCAGTGATAATTTTTACAATTTTTGTCTACCAAATCATTCATATGAGAATTACATTTGTGAAAATTAAGACTTGAAAATAATTATTTAGAATACAAGACAAAATACAAGTCTTAAAGAATATTTCATATGGAGAATAATTTTGCCTTATTTTTTGATTAAAGAATTCAGTTCACCCTCCCTCAGACATTTGCCCTTTAGATTAAGGTATACACTCACCCTTTCCAGTACTGGTCCTGTGACAGAGTATTCGGGTCACCTATCACAATAAGTAAGGCCTTGGCACGGGTCAAGGTCACATTGAGTCTCTGAAATAATATCACCAGTGCTGGCATTATAAAATACACTGTGGATCCTAGAATCTGATGTTTTCTTCATAGAAATATGTCTTTTAATATGTAAAATAACTTATTAGGAATATACATATAGTCACTATGTATTTAAATATTAAATAAGAGAGGAAGAAAAAGAGGGAGAGAGATTATTATTTCAAAATAAATCTCAGATTATCTTGTTTAACAACCTCCTGAGTTTTAAATCTGTGAGTTGGAGGTATTGGGAGGGGGGTTCTTACCTTGGGGTTCCTGAGGAATCCTAGGTTGTAGTTGAGATCTAAGGATAAGTACTCAGGGTTGGAACGGACCGTGGAGACGATGATAATCAATCTCTCCTGCCCCTGAAATTCCTCCACTGAGCCGATATCTACCTCCCCAAAGTTACCCTTGTTATGGACTAACTGGCGTATCTTCTGGACCTACACATGTTAGGAAAAAGGCATTAAATACCTGATAGCAGGATTTTTTTAGCAGGGTGCTATCTTTGGCCTATTTTTGCAGCTTGGTAGTATAGCTTTAAGTCACTAAATCTGCCTCTTGTGTATAAGTACTAATCACAAGGAAGATAACTTTGATCAGTATGTTGTTAAACATTATGTCTTTCATCTGGTATTGGTTTTACTAAAACTCTTGTGTAAATTGGTATCACCATTGACACCCATGATACACTTCATTTCCTCCCCTCCCATTCCCATGTACCGGTAGCCTTGATTTTGTGGAAAAAACCTTAGGTCAAGTCAACCACACTTCCTCAGGATACTAAATATTTATGTCAATGCTTGATATCGCAATAACTTAACTTAAAGGAACATTTTCATGGGAAAAGAGTGGCAGTAAGTTAGGAAACTGTGAGGTACATATGAAAAAGATATTGAATTGTCATATTCTCAAGACATAAACGATCTTTTTGACAGTAAGAGCTTCCAATGTTTCTCCACTGAAAAAATATATTTGCTACAGGAAATACTCATTTTTCTGACAATTATACATGTATTTGTGCCAGTAACCTTTGGTGAATATTATGACAAAATCTTAAAAATCTAAAGTACTTTATATTTCATGAAATTTCTTGAATTTTTTTTTTCATACCTGATATTTGACAGTTTTGATACAAATATACGGTATTACCACTAAAGTAACATAATTAATGAAGTATGCAAATCTATTCTTTCTCTAAATACAACTGAAAAATATTAGTAAATCTATAATACACTTGTACCTGTTTTCTGTATGGAGTTATAATCCCTATTTGTTTCTGCTGAATTCGTAGCCCCCTCCTTTTTTCTGTCAGTAACTTCCTCACGTAACTAAACACGACTGCTGCCTCCTCGGGGTTAAAGAATGAGGGACTTCTCTCCTCTCTCTGGTCTTTGCCCACAACTCCATGGAAAATGATGGGGAAATTCTTCGTGGGTAGCTCCTCCCAGTCACATAAACTGGTTCTGATGTTCTCATCAGCATTTGGCACAAGTTCACCATTATAAAATGTTTCATTGGGATAGTTTAAGATGACTGGGTGAGAGCGGTAGTTTCTGAGAAGTTTGGTGATGAGACGGTTGTCATAGTGATGATCTGGGTCATCTTCATCATCTCTACGTTTGTACACTTGGACTTCATTCATGTATCTCTCCAATAATGAAGTTCCTAAAAATCATAAGCATTTACATGAACCACCAAAGCATAAAATTAAGAAATAGGAAAGCTGTAAATGCACATTAAACATGCATAAGGATCAAGCATTGCACTCTATACTGAAAAAAATATAGCATTTTCTTGAATTTTGATTCAATATCTGAGAAATTGATTTTAAAACTTAGATCTACATTTATAACGCTAACCTTAGTTATTTTGCTCTAAAGGTTTCTTTTACTATATAAACTAGAACAAAGTAGAGAGGCCATTTTACACACTGACCTAGTCCATACTGTTGTGCTATGGGGGACCGGAGGATTGGTCCTAATTGTTGTGGGTCCCCAGCTAGGACCAGCTGTCCACAATTCAGACCTGGGTCTACAGTCAGTATCCCAGCTATAGCTATCAGGGCCTCAGGCTCAATAGCTTGCCCAGACTCATCAATAAAAACATGGCTGAAATGACCCGCCGGGAAGTTTGCAGAGGCCAATCTGTATGAAACAATGTAGAAATATAAGATATCACTCAGGTATGACTTGTTACAATGTACACATGTAGTCGCAATATCTATCATCTAGGGAAACCTTAATTCAACAAGATGCTGCTGAGACAATATGGACTACATGTACACATTTAAGGATCTAAGTGTACTATGAAGTGAAGGAAAATCCTGATTTGTTATGATCATTCCTGCTGTAGATTATATGTTCACTGAATAAAGAATTGAGACAGAAACATACCCCTGCAAGTCATTTGACGATTCAAATGTTAAAGTCAAAGTCAACATATAAAACAATCAGCATTCAAAATATTACATTTTTTTTCATCATACATGAAAACTGATGTGTACTGAACTGATGTGTACTGTATAATACATGAAGGTGTGGTGAACGATTCCTTCATACATTCTTTCTGATGATAGATCTTAAGATTAAAGAAAACAAATCTTCATCTACACTCTTGCATGTGATTTACGTTTTCTTTGTTGATAAGCCCTGTGAACTTCTCGATGTCATTTTCTCATTTGAGCATATAATATTCTTAATTTTTGTATAAATACTGTCTTTGAACAGTAGTGGTAATAACCGCCCGGGAATGTTTGATCGACTGTCAACTTTCTAAGCTTACTGTTCAGTTTTTCACAATACATGTACCTTAGTCTAACATTGTAAAACAACTGAAATACCCTTGTAGTCCTTACCTTCCTGCGGTGACAAGTGTAGTAATAATGACCCTGTACTTCATCAGATCCTCCACGGTGGGATAGAAATACTGACTACTCCTCTTGTTAAAGTTACAGCAGTCCCGGATTTTCTCAGGCACAGATAACCAGTGTCTGGAGTAAGCATTGAGTCGTAACAAATGTCTGCGGGTCACGATACTGCTGCCCAGAATACGTTCAGCCAGCAGGTCCGCAGCATTGTTTGACGGGGCACATGCCAGTATGTGGGCCTTTGGTTGGTAGTAATAGATCTACAAGAAAAGAGAGCTTAGGAATCAGGTAATTGTTTGCTATATGTTCTAAAAGAAAATTTAAATCAGCAGATGGAAATGATTTGTTATTAAAATACACAAATGTTGATCACTGAACTAGAAGAAAAACAGGCAAATGGATGAGTCCATCAAACAGCTGACCTATGTCAGTAAAGTGTAACCAGACCTCAGAATGTCTACATATATTAGAACCTAGGACTACAACAAAAATCTCCTTTACATGTACTCTACTGGTGATTTTAATGTGCTTAAGAAAAACTCATTTCAGTTATAAACATTTTTTTTATTCTAACAATTTCTCTTAAATAATGGGTAAGATTTGAGAGACAATAAAGATTTTTTGTCTAAGTTGTGAGTTCTTTTGAGGCCCTAAATTAACCATCTTAACAATCAACTTTGAAATAGATGTACATACATGTATTATCAAAGAGTATGAAATAACATTGTATTTAGGACTTGTCGTAGCTGGCAGCACAGACACACTCTGACATAACCCTGGTATTTGACAAGTCAGTGTTCAAGATTACGAAGTTCTACTTACATACTACTTAATTGTTGGTACAAGTCTTTCATTTCTCTGCTATATAACACTAGTTCACTACGTACCTGTAGCAAGGCCTCTACAATTGTGACAGTTTTGCCCGTCCCCGGGGGTCCAAACACAATGTAGGGGGCAGGGCGGGACGTTCCCGTTACTATATTGGTCACGGCTAACTGCTGCTCTTGGTTAGACTCTATCTTCCTGTCAAAGAATCTGTAACAAAGTAAATTTTGTGTCAATATTACACCTAACATATTTTACACCAATATACATGTACATATCAACCAATACATAAATGTCTTCAAAATTTCAATAGGAAGTGGGGGCATGAAAAAAGAAAAAATTGTACGATATACCGGCATAAAAAACATTGTGGTTTTATATCTATATATATTTCATATCAACCAGTACTTTTTGTGTTTTAGTAAATAGATAAGACTTACTTTCTCTTGTTAGGGAGTTGGTACAGCCCTCGCCTACAGATGTTGCTGGGGGTGGGAAACAACAGAGGTTCGAGTCCCTCCTCCATGGCCAGTTCACAGGCCCGGTACTGAAGCTTCAGGGGTAGGCGGTTAAAACTAAACCTCACATTGAACTTAGTCTTGTTTACAAAGTTGGACACCAAACTACACAAAAGATTACATACATCAAAGTATACACCGTTTATATATTTACATATTATGTAAAACATACACGTACATGAATAAACTGATATATAATTCGTTCAATAAATTATGTTCAATAATGTTCAATTCGTTCAATTCAATAATGTTCAATTCGTTCAATTTCTTGCTTTATTGATTGTATTATGAACTACAAAGCACAGGTTGAATTTTTTTGTGTCTGCAATGTAATGTAATTACATACACCCTCATTAATTAATTCACTGCTTGTGGGTGATGATTCTGTTTTAAAGAAAATACATGTGCTAAGAATTTTTGAATTTATTCAGATTATAACTTGTGAAATTCAGATTATAACTTGTGAAATTAAAAATCAACTGATCCAGTTATTGTGAGAAAATTCTGAAGGACAAGGTATGGTTACAGCCAAAGAGCTAGGTTCACTTTATGCATAAAATGGCCCTGTCCTTATATCAATTAATTGACTATCACCCTCTGTCCCATTTCATATATCAGAATAGAGACTTAGTGCTTTCATTTCCTATAACAAAATTTCTTTTTGAGAATCCAGGTATTGGAAAACAGGCTTTGAGAAAATGCAATGTTCTTGAAATTTGCAGAAAACATGCGTATTTGACTACCTTCTGCAAAGAATTAAAATATAAGCACAGCCCACGATCCAAAAATTAAAACATGTTTTGTAATCTTTAGAAACCGATCTTTCATTACGTAATTGCATATTTTGGATCAGAGGTTGTGCTCTATATGAAATATTGAAAAAATACCTCAACTTTTTGCCATTTTTAAGGGAATTTACACGATATGGGGAAAATGACGAATTTTATGATGTCATAATGCATTGACTAAAGAGAAAATTACGACATGTTCAATAGATACACGGTCACCAAGGGTTAAAGTTATAAATACTGCATTTTCAACCAAAACTGAGCAGTTTCAATTTTTCAGAAATTCTCAGGGCCAAAAAAGGCCCTAAGTGGCTCTTGCTCTTTGGCCCCTTATTTTACTAAAAAACTAGAAATATGTCCATAGGACAAAAATGCCCCGCCGAGGGTATATTAGTAATGCAAAATGAAAATTTGTATAAGTGTATGAAATTTGATGAGAATATCTTGAATAGTTTCTTTAAAATTGAAATTGAAATCTAAAAAGTTGAATATAGATGATAAATTTTTACCAAGTTATGTATTAGTGCATAAGCTTACATAAATATATCTTAAATGGTTTCTTTAAAATTAAGCAAAATGCAAATTTAAAAAAGTGAGGTCAAGGTCACAGGAAAGTTCAAGGTCAACCATTTTTGATGCAGTTGAATAGTTCTCACAAATACGTATCAGCATATTAAGTTTGATAAAAATATTTTGAATGGTTTATTAAAAACTGAGCTAAACACTAATTTAAAATAAATGAAGTTAAGGTCAAAGGAAAGGTCAAGGTCAAAAAATGTTGATGCAGTTGAAAAGGTTACATCAGTATGTATTAGCATATGAAGTTTGATAAAAAATATTATAAATGGTTTCTTTAAAACTGAGTTAAACACGAACTGAGAAAAGTGAGGTCAAGGTCAAAGGAAAGGTCAAGGTCTGAAAATATTGATGCAGTTGAATAGCTTACACCAGTATGTATCAGCATATGAAGTTTGACACTAATTTAAGAAAAGTGAGGTCAAGGTCAAATGAAAGATCAAGGTCGAAAAATGTTGATGCAGTTGAATAGCTCTCATCAGTATGTATCACCATATGAAGTTTGATTACAATATCTTAAATGGTATCTTTAAAACTAAGCTAAACACTAATTTAAGAAAAGTGAGGTCAAGGTCAAAGGAAAAGAAAAGGTCAAAAAATGTTGATGCAGTTGAATAGCTTACATCAGTATGTATCAACATATGAAGTTTGATTACATTATCTTGAATGGTATCTTTAAAACAGAGCTAAACACTAATTTAAGAAAAGTGAGGTCAAGGTCAAAGGAAAGGTCAAGGTCAAAAAATGTTGACGCAGTTGCATAGCCCTCATCAATATCTATCAGCATATGAAGTTTGATAAAAATATCTTGGATAGTTTCTTTGAAACTGAGCTTTGAACAGAGCTAAACGCAAAGTGTGACGGAAGGACAGACGGAAGAACAGAAGGACGGAAGACGGACATGACAAACACTATATGCCCTGGCCATATTCATGGCGGGGCATAAGAAAATTAAATAGATTAAATATCTGGAAATTTTTAAAGTAAGAAGCTTTAATGATGCTTGTTTGAAAACTAGTACTGATAATGATTCAAAGCATACACTTACACCACAAGAGGGTGATAAAGTAGACCATTTCCTGAATTTCCTCAATATTGATATAAACAATCTAGGGTCAAAAAAGGTCCCCTAGCCAATCTTGACCTTTAAATATTAATTAATCTTTTATTCCAGTTTGTATAATATGTGTTTAAGCAATGATATAATTAAACTAAATGTATATAAGAACATTAGTATATCAGTCACTATGCTGGCACATTTCATCATTTACACTTCGCGGGTACGTTAAGGCAGTACACAGGTCATATTTCGGCGAATTTAGACTTTTTTCCTAAAATGCAATATTAATAAATCTTTAAAGCCATAGATAAAACATTTACTATTATTATCCATTGTATAGACGTCATTGAGTCTGAGGCTAAAAGAAGTACGCCACTACGACGTCATCACGTGACATCTATAAATAGAAAAATTACCTTAATGAAAAAGTGAAAAGTTCAACACTACCCCGGGGATATTTCATTTCTTTTTGTGAAAATGATTATGTAAAAGCATCACTGGACCATGAAAAGTGCTGCTAGAATCCTACTCTTCAAACACAGAAAAAATTATTCCAAAATTTCGCATGAAACCTTACCAAAATTTTTACATTTTATACATACGATCAAGGAATTGTCATCAATTTATGTTAACCACACGATTCTAGCAGCACTTTCAAAGTACTGTAGAATACAAGCTTTCGATATAAACAAAAATTATGTTTCACAGTATGCGGCGTAGTGTTGAACTTCTGCATCTTTGTTGTTATAGAGCGACAGAGGAAAGGCTGATCGGGATTTCAAAGCAACGCCTCTGTTCATTATAAGAAAACATGATAAGAATATATCAGCATAGCTGATTCTTATGAATCACACATAATATTCAATGTATATGCTTTAAAACTCCCATTTCATATATTTGTTTACATGAATTCTCGTCACGTTTCATTTTCACTCGGCAAATATTAATTTGATCAATAGTTATGACGTCATGGGTTTGGTATTTTACCCCCGTGATAAATACTTAGCTATTTATACCACCCAAAAACGACAAGATTTAGTTTATATTATGTTTTAACATACCCGCGTTCTTTGATTTATATACATGTATAAGCAAAGATAGAGAAATCATAACTGTACCATAAAATGTTGGTTAAAAGTAAAAACTTCAGATCTATGTAAGATAGAACCAAATATCCAATTAAGCTAATGTGGTTCGATTAGGTACGTTTTTCCATTTTTTTAATGAGATATTTTTCGTATGTTCACTTTTCAATCCAGAAAAGAATTATACCTGTCATGGAATCCAAGGGCTACTTCCCTTTGGTGGACCTCATGAACATAGCCTTGATATTCTTTGCGTCCATTGCCGGGCATTCGGACATACAAGTGGTCACCTTTCAGGACAGAGGGGCGGTTCTCAGCCAGCCCTGGCACCTTTGAAATGAAGGCACAGAAATAAATTTCTAACGCTGTATTCTAATTTAAAGAAACTATCATAAAACAGTTATTTTCTGTGGTTGGAAGTTTTTGCAATTTGACCTCTGAGTGGCAGCAAATAAATATCTGCATTTTGAATTTTTGTCGTTGTTTTAACCCTAAAAACAATTATTTATGAGAAATGACTACTGACAGTTAATTTGGTAGAACACTGCAACATTTTGCTAAGACATTGTTAAGTATTTTTCTATTGACATGACCACGTGTTCAGGGTGAATCAGAACCGATAAAAAGTTCTGCTGCTTGTCTGTTCTTCAGGGTTTTTTGTGAATTGTTTTTCAAATACCCTACTAAGGATTTTTTTTATTATTATATTGTAATCAGTTACAAATTTATGGGTTAATTCCAGCTAAAAACTACCTTGACATATGCACCACTTTTAGCAGTTGGAAATAAATGATGATACTTAATAATATATATATAAATATTTTAAGAATATTTAGCAGTTGTAATTTGTGAGAATTTGTCCTAATCACACAATACTGCAAAAATTGGACAACTGCAGAAAATACCCCTTATATACATTATTTATTTTATAATGATCTATGCTGGTTCAGATATAAAATTTTTTCTCTGCTTGACTTCATGAACAGAAACTCAATATTGTATATAAATGGATATATTGTATATTCAATTAAAAAAAAAAATCTTATTCTGGTTTCGGGAATTCCGTATCACAATTAACATACCTCCAGCATTAGTAGTCTTTTGTTGTGTGAACATTTTGTCATTGGCGAGTCGTTCATGTCATATCGCCGGATATCAACCTGCATCTGTAACTCCTCTATGTTCATCAAAGCATGGAACTTTTTCTGGTATGTATTTCTAGTCAAGGGATTTTCAAGTATTTTTCTGCAAAAAATATAAAACACTTTCTTAATTTTTTTTTTCAAATTACCTCTTAATATGTAATTTAATTATTGCATATTTTCATGGTTGAAATAATATTTACAAAATTTATTACAATTTTTTGCAGTGCTTATTTAATAAATTTGAAATTTTGGTGACTGCACAGGAAGATTACACAGGTGGGCTATACAAATACATTTCTTTTTTCTCAGAACTGTGTATATGTCAGTAAAGAAGGGTTAATTATGCCTCAAAGATGATTTACCTACAGCTGAGTATCTAGTTAGAGACACCATTATTACCTGATGACTATAAATTTATTATTACTTGATGATCTACCTACAGTTGACCATAATTTTATTATTACCTGATGTTCTTCCGATAGTTGACGATAATTTTGGTCTTACCTGGTAGCACTCATCTCCAGCTTCTCTGCCTGGTTGCTACAGAGTGATGTCTTAAATCTCCTATTGATCATCGTCCTCATTTGACGACTTACTGTATAGTTCCCCAGCGGCATCATCCGCTTAAGATTATCCTCTGTCAGCCTAATGAGATGTCATTAAAAAATAAATAATGTTACGAGAGAAAAATCATACTACACAGGGTTTTTTTTAGGTCTTAAAATCAAGGGCCTGGACCTTTCCATTTGGTAAAAATGGTGACATTGGGTTGAAATTCGGAAAATTATCACATTGAACATTTTTCTAAATAAATTCAAAAAGAGGTTCTTTTTTTCATTGCAAGGTATTTATTATTTTACATTCAGTCAATCAGTTTTTGGAGCATGCCTTTTAGACTTTTTTTTTAAAACCATTCCTGATACACATTACTGAGTTAGGGCATTTTTTTTTACCGTATTTGTTAGATTTTCTTTTGGGAATGTTCTTCTATGAAATTGAGAAAAACACATACTTTTTCACCATTATGAATGGGGCAGAATACAGGCCCCCTATGACCCCTCAAAAACCCTGTAGAAAATTTTTATCATGCATGGTATTTGGATCTCAATAAAGCTATAAAATAAAAACTTTTTTTCTGTCTGTATTTCATATTTTTTACCCCCAAGATGCACAGATAATTACCGGTATGCCCCTTCTTCCCCTATTCACAAAAAAATTACCCCTACTTCCCCTTTAGAAAAATAGAAAAGTTTGGCCATACTTGGGAGGTTTTAAGCCCTGAACTGTCTCCAATGATTCCTGGTACTCTGCAACCCTTGTTGGAGGTTTGTATGGTGTCGTGGGCTTCAACTGCTCTGTGATGTCACTAACACACTTTGCATTTAAATAACGAATGATGTGGAACTCTTTCCCTGATAATCGGCGCAGATGAAAGGCGATTGGGACGTGGAATGTTCCTAAACCCCTGGCACAGGCATGGACTTTGATGATGTAATGACTCCCTTTAAAAGGCAAAAAAAAATTATGAGTTCAAATGAATACATTTTATCAAAGAGTTTCTTTCATTAAAACTATACATACAAAAATTACAATTTTCAAAATGTAATTTATAAATTTTCAAACATTTTAATAAATTTCAAGAAATGATTATACACATGTATACATATATGTATAATTCAAAGTCAAAATGCCATTGTCTGAACAAGTAAATTAATCTTCAACAATAAATTACACTTGTTTAACATGTAAAACAAAAGTCATTAGAAATACTGCATACTAAAACTAACTCTGTGACAGCAGAATTGTAGCTTATAACTGTAAATGACAAGCCCATCTACTGTACCTTTCTTACAATAGTAACTTTTAGTAACAGACCTGGAATTAATGGCACGGCCCCTTGACCCTCCGTGACTTTCTTAACATCGTCAAGTTTGAACACCCTCATTCTCTTTAACATCTCACAGTGTAACAGCTCTACCATCTCTTCTGTTTGATTCTCTAGCTTTAGGAACATGGTTTTCTCAATGTTTTCCTTGATCTGCATATGGTATGTTCCATTAAGGTAGTCAGCATTGTCTCCTATTATAGCAATGCCTTCTCTGTCTTTAATTAGATAATCTCTAAGGGAAATAAAAATATTAAGTATACAAATGATGAAAAACTGTTTATTTAATCTAACAGGTATATACTCTTACTGCTTATGTTAATTTTTTTCCCACTGCTTTTGTATATGCAGCAAAACAATTGGAATTGATGAGTTTCTCTTGAAAAATGTGCAAAATTCAGAGTAAAATTTATTTGAATCCTTCAAGTACGATTTACACATGGAATTCAGTTACCTATTTCAAATGCTGATATAAAGTAGGTACTTTTGTTTGGAGTTGCAGATTAATTAGTTGCTGTTCACACAATCAATGCTCAAGTAAAAGTAATTATTCATGCTTGAAGTTGCGGAGTAATTTATTTACTGTAGATTGGCAAATAATCACGATGGTTTTAATTTCACTATGTTCGCTATTCATCATTTTTCTGCGAAATTAAATCCACCATGAATGCTATCACTAGTTTTTTAAAAAAGTTTAAATGCTTATACGAAATTTGAATTAATTTCTCACAGCATGAAATTAAAACTATCACGATTAGTACTTTTTGAGAAGTCGTATAATTTTAACACCATGGAATCAAAACGACTTGCAGTATGTTAAATATACTGTACCTTTGCTTCTTCATTTCAGACGTGACCACTCCTAGCCTGTGTCTCCTCCCCTGAGAATGCCTTCCCATCTCAGCCACTGATGTCGACCTTGCACCACAAATCATGCACTCATAATAGTTCCCAATTCTCTTAATGTTTTCTGTATCCATACTGGGCTGTGATTCTCTCCGCTGATTGCTGGCTTGAGATCGGTTAGGGAAGTCTGGAGCTGGGGAGGAGGTCCTACTGGTCACTGGTGTAGGAGTGAAGCTGCGATTAATGACCACATGCTGGTTAACTGCTACTTGGCCAATTCGCCTGGGTGGTGTTCTTTTGTAAAATCTTCCTGCATTTGGGTCACTGTTATTGTTCTGATTTTCTGTTTAAAAAAAAATTAAACTAATTGTTAAAATGTCAAGATTTTATTTTCATCAAAGAGTTGGCATCTTTCTGGACATATATCCATTTACCATTTTGTTTATCCTTTTTTTTGTGAGAGTTGAGGTATGGGGGAGCAGCAGGACCTTTATGGATGTGAATGCCCCTCAGGTGAAGTCGTCCGGTGGTAAACAAGGTCTGTATCACAGGCCCAAAGGCTAGATTTTTATTACATTTATTTGAATCACTTGGAATGTATTTGTCAATGTAAACTGTCTGAAGTTCCCGCTTAGTCTTGCCAACAAAGTTTATTTCATTATCCTTCAAATAATCCAGGAAATCTAACCCTTGGTGTTTCTTCTCAGCAAAGGTGACTCTTCTTGGACTAGCCATTTCTTTCTACAAAATAAAGTACATATATAACAATGACAAAAATCTCAAAGCTTTGTTTAATGAAAAAATCATGAGAACAAATAATGATACTCTGTGATACATACAAGCACACTTGTAATAGCATTGTATTAACATTATATGGGACTTTGTCTCAATAATATTTAGGGTTTTTTTATGTCACTTTTTCCCTTGGCTGCCATCTTGGAGGTCAATCTGATGACTTTTTTGACAAATCAAAGTTAAACATGTGTAGCAGTAATATTTGAGTGATAGAAAAAAATTATAAAACGAAAAGTCTGAATTAAAAGAGGCTTTAGCAAACATATATTCTGTAGAAAAACAATGTTTCTTACACCACAATAACCAGTATGACAAGTTGAAATTAGCTAAATAATGATAGAATCTGAGCATATTGAACTCCAATATGGTGGCCAACAGAAAATAACTCTGGCTAAATTCATGTCTATCAAAAACTATCTATTGTGTCTGAAAGTGAATGCAGTGTAGTCTAAGAGAAAATGTTATATACACGTATGCTTGATATCATATATTGCAAGCCCTTCTATCTTGCTATGCAAATGATATAATAAACACCCACAAATACATATGTTTTTTTCTAAAGAAAGTTATTTTCATATTGTTGCTGATGTAAAATTGATGGTTGTTTGTGTAACAATTAAAAAGTGGCTATGTGTTGTATTATTTGTATATAAAGAGGCCACACTCCTGATACATGTAGCACCAGCTAGTGGGTTCACCCTTTAACTCAGCTGGTAGACCACTGGATTTTAAATCTGAGGTTTGTATACATTCAAGCCATAGTGTGTAAACCCCTAGCTTACAGTGTATAACTGGCCATTCAAAAACCCACAAAGAGTGTGGTATTTATAGTCTCATGTGTAAGATTTTTTTGGGTTAAGAAATGTCAAGAAGAAGAGGGGAAAGTGTCCAAATTAAAAAGTGGCTCAGTGTTGTATATAATTAGGCCACATACACTCCTGCTAGCACCAGCTAATGGGCGAATCCTTTAAACAGTTGGTAAAGAATCAGAGTTCATATCCGAGGGCTGCAGGTTCATTTAGCCATGCACAGTGTGGACACCCCTAGCTAAACAGTCATATATGGAAGTTTTCTTTTCTTTTTATTTATCAAAAGTTTTATCTTAAAGGGTCTAATATCATAATTGAACTTTGTTAATTCATGTTGATCATAATTATGTTGATATACATGTACCTTTTAAAATCCAAATTCTGCGGAGTGAAGAGAGAGTGAATGTTTTTCCTGTTATATAATCATTTTACCTGGAATAAAAAAAAAAACTGCATTTCAGTTTTACAGAATCAGTCCTGAGAACCACTGAGGGAGAATGATTACAACATAGAACTTTTGAGAAAACATATTTTCTGTCTACCATTCCTTTACAGGTATATCATTCAAATTTCAACTAAACTTTCATTATTTATATTTACTTTTGAAATAAGCTTGCTTTACCTGCAATCAAAATAAATATTTCTAACTGAAAATACATCTTCCTCATGTTTCTCAGTCTTTAACAGATTAAAGTAACTTGTACCTGCCAATGAGAGTCCTTTAACAGATCCAGCACAATCTCTTGATTTAGCTATATAGCTTGGATTAGCTATATAAGAGCTTGATTTAGCTATTCAAAATAGCTTGATTTAGCTATTTTATAATACCTTTTTCTTAAATGTTCATTTCTTCCAGCAAGTTTAAAAAGTTGCACTTTGATACAGTGAAAATTTCAACTTTGACCTGTTTTGATGAAAACAATGCATGAAAAAAATACTCATCAAATGGTGTCTCCTTGAAAGACTTTGCACGGAAATTTCCTAAAGATTTGGGGCTATACATGGCAATTCATTTGTGATCACACAGTTACAGAGTCATGTAAAATGTATTCATTAAAACGACTATTAAAATACTGTCGGATAAACACAATGAAAATACTTCAATACTCAGAATTGTAATACTGGAGCAAATGTGTTGCTAAAAGTAACCAACTATTAATCACTCACCAAATATTTTGTTAGTAACCCTTTAACCAGATAACTTGTATGATTCTTCTTCTTCCTTTAAATCACAAGCCACCTTCTGGTGTAATGTCGTGATTGTCACTATGTACACTTGCCCAAAGGGAAACAACGGTCTATTTACAGTACATAAAAATCATTCTGGTAATATTTACAAATATTTACATTTGTAAATGTTTTCTTTTATATAACACTATTAAAAGCAACGCGTATCTATATCCGTATAAACACGGGTTCCTCGCGTCATAAACGTTTGACGTAATTTCTCAGTGACGTCATAAAGGGTCGACGAGCATTCAATGGATCAAATGCGTGCCGTTGAGTTTGAAAAATAAAACATTTCACGCGTTAAAGATTATAATCAGGAAAATATTAAATATGAATAAGTCATAAATGTAAATATAAGTAATAATGTATCATTTTTAAACATCTATCGGGATATAAATACGGGTTGGTACGAGATCAAATTTACCATAAAGCCCTTCGGGCTTTATGGAATTTGATCTCGTGACCAACCCGTATTTATATCCCGATAGATGTTTAAAAATGATACATTATTTCTTAATTAAAAATGTTGGAATTAGGTCATTCTGATTGCTCCAATGCTGTTCTTGAAACCCTCCAGGCTAGAGGAGTTGACAGATTCTTCTGGGGATGGAGTTGTATAAACTGTGCGCATACTCTGGTGTGATGTAATCCAATTTTTTTTCAATGTGAAGTAATCACATACTTAGCCACACCAGGTGTATACAATTACCAAAACAATGGAAATACTTCTTTTGCTTAAAAAAGCAATGTTTAAACTATTTGGATTGCTTTTTTTAATTGTCCATAGTACAAAATATGAGTATTCACACACTTGCAACTTTTTTGTCCATTTCTTATTGAAAAGCATAACTGTGAAAAAACTGTATTGAAATAGCTTTATCAAGCTATTCTGAATAGCTCAATAAAGTTAAATAGCTAATTCAAGATATAACATTAGCTAAATCAAGAGATTGTGCTAAGCCCTTGTTTCGTCTTTGTTTATACATACCCAAAACAAATATTCTGGTCATCTGAATGGTTACTCATACATCTAAACAGCTTCAACTTTTCTGAATAAATGAGTGATATTGTGTTATCTAAAATGTATTGATTTCATCATCTACTGTTATAATCGCCGTTATTTTCTCTCTCTTTAAAAAGAATTTAAGTGTACTTTCATTTTGCGGGAAAATTTACTTTATTACCTTCCGTACAAAGAAGAGCGTCATTCATTAATGCTTACAATAAGGAATTCTACAATGAATGGTTTCGGTAAAAAGCGTTACTATCATGGACCGGGCAAAATGCAGAAAGAAAAATATTTTAACAAAATACCTTTAATGACAGTTATTCATTTGAATACGTGTGGAAAGACTATCCAACATTTTATAAAGGAATTAATTGATAACCAAGGCCAAAAATGTTACATAACTAACTACATGTACATTATTTTTGAGGAGAAAAAACCTCTATAAATTGTTCTTCAAATTTAATCAAGGTTTGATGAACATAAGGAATAAAAAAAAATGCTAAAGTAGATTTGTTTTAGTCATAAGTTCTTTTGTAAAATGGTCCAGACTTTCATAAAAATATTACGGTGCCTACAGCTTAAAATAGGAGCTATGACAGATACAAATTTTTCATAATTCCAAGCTCATCCCCACTTCTACAAGCCTGCATGGTTTGTAGGAGCAAAATTGAATCCAAAAGAGCCACGGTGTCCAAACACCTTTCATAAAATGTTATGGTGCCTACAGCTTAAAAAAGAGCTGTCACAGATATAAATTTTTCATAATTCCATGCACATTCCCACTTAAACAAGCCTGGTTTGTAGGAGCAAAATTAAATCCAAAAGAGCCAAGGTGTCCATACACAGATAAAAGGGAAATGCTATTGGGGAGGGGGTGCATTTCAATTGCCAGAAATTCAAGTCAGTTATAATCAGAAATACAGTCTCAAGTAGCTACACAAAACTAGCATCACTGAATGAGACAAACACTCAATTTTGCCAGAAGTTCTGATCATATGGCAAAAACCCTCAGCACCTTGTTCATTTTGGATCTAGCCACACATTTGGAACAGTTAGATCTCATGCAATTATATGTGGGTGGTCTAAACTTAGGTCTTAACATCAGCCAAATGTAAAGGACTTTGGAATTAACATGTTGTTTTCTTTATATGAATGGCAGTTTTTACATACAAATAAGTGACAGGGAATCAATATATTCCAGAAGGAAGTTTGAAAAAATCTCCACATTCTTGATGAAAAAAAAATGCAATATTCACTTATCATCAAATATATATGATGTCTGAGTGTCATATAAAGATCTTTTTCAAACCAAGTTCTTAAGCAAGTATTTTCAAGAAACAATACAAACAATATGCATAATATCATATCTTGCTTGGATTAATTGGTCAAATACGTTTTAAAGATAAACAAAACAAATAGAAATAAATTGGTGAACATTTTATTTCGACATAACACAAAACACAAAATAATATGGACTGTGAATCAGTCTTATTCTCTCCCTGTCGAAACAAACACAACCCTTGCTTTAAACTCAATTCAACCTTGACAAGCTTGTATACTGTAGCTCAATTTAATGGCAACATATTGTCATTTGCATCATGCTTGGATGTTTTTGCATAATCAATGGTTATATTTAGCTTTATGTCTCAAAGACATCCTCTCTTCGCAAGCAATATAGCTCTTGCTTTACATAACAACCGGCATACAAATTACAGGTACAATGTATCATGTAACAAACATGTCTTCTTGTACAGGATTTTAAAAACCAAGTTTGCTTTTGTATTACCAGTACACATATTTCAATTGGCTATATACACTGTTTCAAGTTCTTTAATAGTTGACAGCTTGAGATCCACACCATAAGAAGTTAATTCATATTAAGCACTCGTTTAGATATAAATTCACATCAGATATATTACATTGTTCAATTTCTTGTGGCACAGTTTTTTTTGTCCATTAGGAATGTTTTTTGACAAATGATTGTCTCCTAGCTCTATTCCTCTACAGCCTATCTCTCTATCCATTCTCTACTTTCTATCTCTCTATCCTTTACATAACAGTCCCTATCTAGCACTAGTTCTTTTCTTTGAGCTCAAATGCCCTTGTGTTGGGAGATGCAGTCAAGCCTCCTTTTTAACTACCGTAATAATAATTTGTGTGTGTAAAAACTTAAGAGGTCTTGAGATTTGCCATCATTTTAACTTCATTCCTAGAAACTTGATCACTGAGCCATGATAATAATGGTAAATATTACCATTCATTATCATATTTATTACTTTAAATCACAAGGAAAAAATGGGTAAAACTTCTCAGTGATTTATCATATTTCCTCAGTCATACCTCTCTAGAACACTTGAGATTAAGGGAAAAGAACAGACAGATTCATTCGAAATACTGTGAATTACAAATGATGAAACTCACAGAATGATTACAAAATCAAACAAATGAGACAATAATTGCACTGTAACATAATTCTGGATGATTACTGACAAGCATTCTTAGAATATTTTAAGTGTAGAGACATACAGTGTATGTAAATCTAAAAATACATGTACTTTTAATCCCATAAAATGTCCTAAAGACGCAAGTTGTATATATACTGTCAGAAAATCAATTTTCATCAGTCTTTTATCACTCAATGGTCAAAAAACAAAAATAACTGGAATATAATTTTGCAAAAGCAAAAAGATTTTATGCCCCCTTTCATAATCAATATTAGTAGACTGTTGGTAGGAAGTGACTAAGGAGATAAAACTGACTACTGTTGAAAATCAAATAATTTACAATATTGCAAGAAACCTAGCTCTACTTGTACAAAATAAATGTAGCAGCAAAACTACAAGGATTGCTTCTGGTGGACTCCAGAAAATATAAAACAGTGCTAAGAATCTTTCAGATAGAATTTACTTCTATTAACAAAAACTGCTTCTCTTTATAAACATTAAATATTTCTCTAATTCTTATTTCTGTTTACCTTAGAAGTGTTTAAAGTGGTATCACATTTATACGGACACTAAAATGAATTGACATGATAAAATGTTCATTCACTTTCTCAACAGAAATTAAGGATAGATACATGAAATAAATAATATTCTCTCCATTCTGTTTAGTTGAGAGAGAAAAACCAAGGATTCAGAGAAAGAACAAGGCTGATTAGCCATCAGTTATCTCCCTTGGTATATTAAGAGTTCTTTCCCTTATGACCAAGCTCGATATAGTACTAATTAAGAGACGTGTGATTATGACTGGTTTATTTCCTTGGCGTCCTTCAACCAGGGGTGTTTTAGACAATCTGCTGCTGTGGCACGTTTAGCGGTATCAAATGCCAGCATAGGTGTTAAAAAGTCTGTAAAACTCTTGGCCTCTTCTTCATCCCACTCATATTTTTCCATCAAAACATCGAACAGACCCCATGGTTTTAATTTTGGTATGTTATGAAGTTCACCTTTACGAAAAAAAAAAAATAATAACAATGCAAGAATAAATGTAGACCTTAATACATGTATACTACATGGAAGACACATTATTTCAGTATTTTTAACCCCAGTTTCTGTTTTAATATTGTTAAATATACTTCATTTTCAACCTAAGAAATGGATGGACATAAGTTTTCATTGGCAATGAGAAGTGTTAAAAAATCTGGCAGTTAAGGCTGTTTAAAATTCTACGTTTAACGTCACCCGTGAGCGTAGGTTTAGGAGAAATCCATCTTTAAAAAAAAACAAACAATTCGGAATTTCATATATCTGTTCCGGTTTGGTTCTACATTTAGCGACTTAATTCTGCATCCCGTAGTGACAGAAAATGTGCTTTGTAGTTGGTACCGTAGTTGGTATCTTATTAAAAGAAAACTAGTGAATTAAACAGTATGAGATCATAAATGTAAGTAAAATATAGATGATTTTATGATTGAAGTTAATGACAAAGTCTAGTTTGTTGAGTTCTTATCAGTCTTTGTATCACAGACTCCCAGTTCGTAATTATGTTGGCTGAACTATTCATTGTATTTAGAGAGAATTGCAAAACTTTTTACTGTCTAACTGAGTGCAAAGTGTGTCAAAAACAAAGATTTTATAATATACAGTGAGATGCTTCATCTAAATTTTATTTAATAGTTTCATCTTAAAATATTTCTGTAAAAATTTAAAGGAACATTAAGATTATTGATATCTTCATAAATGTAGCATTCATGTACCCACAAATGGCTACATTTTTAGGGAAAGTTCATACTAGTCATTGCCATTTGAGCAGGGAGAAGCTTACAGAAGATAGAGCCTTTCAAGTGAAGGAGAGTAAGGAAAGTGATTGGGGTATTGCGGTATTCCAAGCAGTGAAGAATCCTGTCGTGTGTGGAATTCAAGGTAAAATAATCTAACACCTATGGTCCAAATATAGTATTTACACTTTCAAAACTAAATTCTAGTAGATCTAGTACTATAAATAAAAATACAGCAGAATTCAATTTCGAGATATTTTCAATTTTATAATGTACTACATACTGTCAACATAATTTTAATTGTAGATATTGATCAACTTTTCTCACAAAAGGATTCAAACCAATATACATACTAAGGAAAAACTCTGCTTAGGAAATTAGACTTGGATGTCATATCCAATACTTTTATTACTCAATAGTGTTTTTTAACATACTGAATAGGTTAATTTGAATAAATTCACAAATGTTTAAAATTTTCGTTTGTTTATTTTTTTTCCTCCCTCCCTCATAGGTTTTGAACTTTAGAGGTGACGTTAAACGTAGAATTAACTTTGAACAGCCTAAGTTATATTTAAGATACTATATTACCATTAAAGAAGAGACCTTTTAAGACTAAATAGAACTGACCTCTTCTGTAGTAGAAGAGACCATCTAAGACTAAATAGAACTAACCTCTTCTGTTTAAGACTAGATAGAACTAACCTCTTCTGTTGAAGTATCTCCTGGATTTCTCCCCCGACAGGCTGATCTCACGTGGAATAGGACCCAACAGCTCAATTATATGTGCCAGGTGATCATCGTTACGACTAAAGTTTTCCCCCGAATTTGGCTCAAATAAATAATCTCCTGTTGCCAATTCAAATGCCTGAAAATATTTGTATATTGCATGTACTACAATGCCATTGACAATTCAATACAGAATTTTTACATTCAATTCATATAGGCACATAAAAACATGGAATCATTAATGGAATGCAAATTCTCAATTATCTATCTACATCTATTGACAGTTGAACAATTGAGCAAAATCTCATTATCTAAAATGGGAAAACTTTATTTCTACAGTAAAATTTTAAATTGTACTGAGTATACATAGCAGGATTCCTTAGTTTCCTTTGAAAAAAAGTGTGAATGATCAGAGCTAACAAAATTAAGAATTCGTGGACATTTACTATTTATTGAAACAGGCAAATATTGTTAACCAATAATCCCTTAGGAAAATATATTATGCTTGTAAACTATTTGTTGAAAATGAAAAAAAAAACATTTTGGACTTAGCAGTGTATAACAAACTTTAATTTCAATATAATGATATTTATAGTGATAAATTATACTATGGGACTGATCCCATTAAAGAAATTGTTAATGCATATGATTATAATAGTACAAAACACTTATGTAGCTATTTAGATAGATGCTTTATGCAGAGAAAACAAATCAATGGACAATATCAGTGTTGTTTTGCATACTGTAGTCAATATCATCTATTTTGTTTTCTTGACTGTATGCCACCATGGTGATGTCAATAAATCGAACTGAATAAACACCTGTATACCTATCAGGACTCTGGGGATTTGCAGAATTTTTTATTTACTACTAAAAATTACAGGATAATATTTCTGTTACAAGAACACTAAAAGCTTACTACATTTTACTTGATATCTTATCTGAGTTATCTCCCTTACATTACGTAGTACATTCCTTGACTATAATGCCTAGAACATCCTCCACAATCTTGTTAAAAATTAAGCTTCTCCCTCTAACCACCTACATGTAGAATCTTTAATTTCAGAGTTTGAGGGATCAAGACTTGGTCTTAATATGATGTATCCAGTTCTAATATGCTTAAGAATGGGTAATTTGAATGTCATTACTTTTGACAAACTGTAATGTTTTAATAGATTACACATAGTCTATAATTCTTCATAATGTCAACAAATGGAAATATTTAAAATGATGGAAAGACAGGGACTATACAGTTATCAACTGAATATGAGATGTATATAATTCCTGTTTCCTATAGAGATGTTGAGGGCTTACCATACAGGCAGTGCTCCAGATGTCTGCTGGCGGACCATAACCCGCCCCTATCAGGACCTCCAGGGCTCGATACTGCCGTGTTTGGATGTCGTCAGTGAAGTGTAAAAACTAGAATAATAGAGTAGGATGCTTAGAGACAATAACATTTGCTTAGTTCAATCATCTACTACTGATACTATTTCAAGACATTCCATCTATCAACCAAAAAACTTCTCAACTATAATGAAGTATTAGATACTTGCAGTAAATTAAATATATATGTACCACAAATCATTTTTAAAGCAACTCTTCTGTAATGACTTGTAGTGTAATTTTTGGGCACAGACAAGTAATTTGTGACAGGAAAAAGTTTAAACACTGAAGAATAAGAATTATATAAGCCTTAGCCTTTCCAAGGAAGGAGAAAGCTGCTGTGTCATTTACAAACAAAATAGAAAATATGTATGGCATTGTAAAATACATACTGTCCAGCAGGCATTGCCTAGATCTGCTATTTTGACAGGAATATCACAAACTTGTCTGACTGGATCTGGTTGAATCAAGGAATTCTTATCTAAAAATATGTGTGGATTAAAAGCATTTACATGTATATTGAATTTTCTGTAGCTAGGAATAATGAACAAAATCAATTTTCAAAACTTGCAGACATACTTATCTTAGATAAAAATTCAGCATATTAATGTTTTCAGTTTTAACAGTATGCGGGTACTAAATGTTTAAACAAGAATGTAAAGTGTGACAAGCTGATCAATATTTTTGTATGTACTAACCCATAAATATGAACTTAAATATAGTACTCTAGGCAGATCCTTGACATCTCATATTTGTTATAATATACATGTTAATCCTATGCTCACCTGAGGAGTTGCTTTTTTCACTGGGTGAGGAGGAACTATGGACCCCGGGGCTCTGGGATCGCCGCTGATTCTCATCAGTGGACCCTTCCTCCATGGGATTCCCCTCACCCCCCACACTGTTAGATTCACAAGTATCCTGTTCATTTGTGGAGTTTCTGTTGGTGTCTACCTGAGATTGAGATTCACCGTGTCCGTTACACATGAGCGCATCTGCTGAGCGCTTGATGTCTATAGTCACTTCATTGTCATTGTCACTAATTGCTGGGTCCATAATGTTAGGTAAACACTTTGTTTGATTCTCAATATTCTCAGAATTTTTCTCTTCATCTGTTTTTTTCTTTGTGTCTGTACATTCTGAAATGAACAAAATTTCATTAATGACACCCATTTTTATTTAAAAAGAGATTCAATAAATGAAGAAATTCATAAATAAAATTTCAAAATTCAAATGTTCATATTCAAATATTCATATCACATGAAATGGGAAAATGTCTCCTTCTTTTGTATGACAGACCTGCTTGTACATCAACTTTTTCTTGAAATAATGGTTTAAAAGTTCACCAGAATTTCAGAGTAATTTATGTTTTTACATCTTGTACATGCCCTTGTTAAAAATTTACACTGTATAGTTGATTTTTTAATTATTTTCCTTCTTAAGTACTTTGTATAAAAAAAAATCACACTGTTGACTTTGATGGTCTTCTGTTATTTTGGAGGGTACCCTCATAAAGCATGATAGTTTTTTCTCTTCACATCATATTTTTATTGAGGGAAGGGCACTTTACAACATACAAATGTAATTTTTCCAATGTAAAATCTTGTAATTTTTGTCAGTTGTATGATGTATTATTTTACTCTTCCTTGTATCACATAGACTTTTGACATTAACAATCAGATAACTGTGTCTTTCTTGCCCAGTGACTTTGAAGATCTTGACTGAGAATTAGAAATTTATACATAACAAGGTAAAATCCTTATCATTTTAACATAACACTGATAAATATAAGGAGGAGTTTCTTGATAAATATTATATATTTATATATCAACACATTAAAACTTGCTGTTGTCTGGCAATTAATGAATGAACAATGTCAATAAAATGAAATACAAATCGTGTCTACTTCATTCAGTTGAAGAGTAATAATTACTAAGCTTCTATATCTTACTATTTTTCCTTGATAAAGCTTAAAAGTTTACTTGTCAAATCAAGTGAATTAAATTCTTTTTCCAAGTGAACAAGATTAAAAGCTATGGCATAGTATATGGTATGGAGGGCAATCCAAAAGAAAATGCTAGGGGGATTTGAATAATATGGTACGGGATTTGTTTAGTTATTCTATGTTCTGGTTTATGTTGTGATTAATTCTGAAATAAACTGTACCTGTATTATTGTTATCTGACTGACTCTGGTTTATCTGGTTCCCGGTGCTACTTTCCTGGTTGTTGTCTACCGTCATCTGGTTATTGGCGTGGGAGGATTCGGTGTTGTCTACTGACTCGGTCGTGTCTGGCTGATGATTCTGCGATGACGATGTGTCATTCATTTCCGGCTCAGATTGAGCCAGACTTGTCATACTCTCACTATTCACCATCCTCTCTTTCTCAGCAGCCTAAAGAAAGCATACTGCATCATTAATTAACATCCTGGTTACATTGTTACTTGTATGTATTCAAAATTCGACATCATCTGAATATGATAATCATGTTTTTTTTCCACATTACATGAATTAATATATCTGTATATTTCATTTACAGGTCTAATGTTTACAGAAAAAGTTAAACTAGTCATGAAAAAAAAATTTAGAAATTATTCATAAGAATATGTATAAGCAAACCCTTTAAATAAACAACCAGCATGAATCTATTTGCAAACTACTTATAGCCAGTAAGCTATGTTTGTTCTAAGGTAGTTTTACTCAAGAAAACCTTTTCAACAATTAATATTCTGTGAATCGACAGCTTATATTAATGAAGCATGGATAAATTTACTACTCCTTCACAATGTCAAATAGCTGAGGATATTTCTTGCAGAAAATAAAGTTTCCAACAAATAAAATCATTTTAAAAAATATAACTGATTGATTTCTAGTTTCCTTCCATAAATATGGGGAAAATATCCTAAAAATATTCAATTAGATAAACTAAAGAATCAAACTAGAATAGCATTAAACTGAGAAATACTAGTGATATTAGCATGCAAGAAACTTAATTAACACCAAGTTAATTGCTTCACAACACCAAGGGTAACGTAAAACAACTACACTAAATCGATGAAATTTATAACCACTGAGTAGCAAAAAATATACCACTGCAGCTCTTGTTTCATGTTCATGTTAAATTTCTTTTTTTTTAATACTTCCTTAATAATATTCAAAACAAATGAAAACTTAAATAATCTGCAGGTAATTCACATTCTTAAAATCTGTCCTCCTTTCAAAGATAAGCGATTTCCATTTGTTACTTTTCAAAATTGAGTATGAAAGCCTTCAATGGTATTTGAGTTATTTCCAGGAATTACTATTAAGGTCAGACAATATGTTAATCCTTGAATATCTTTTTTTGTATATCTTCATAATATATATAAAAAAAATACTCATATTAAATTATCATTCTCTTGTGATTTTTAAACTGTTTTCAAAATGTCTTAAAAAATGAATACATCAAAACTTGTGATATTGACAATTCAAGAGATTTCTAATAGGATTATATAGAAAACTTTATCATTTGGCATCTTGCACATTCTTAGGAAAAATTATATATCCTTGAAAAATGTGTAATTTGACCTTAAATGGAGGTACAAAAATATCTTCATGTTTTGTGCTGAAGTGTAAACTGATCTTCATTTACATAATCCTGGCTTTTTAAAGTAATTAAAAGCATTTGTACACATTAGTAAATTCTTTTGAAATAGTTCAGTGATGACAAGGAGTTGTTTCCCTTTAAACAATAACAAATATTTGAATTGCACTGATCTTTTTTTCCCAGTTTTCTTTTTTTTTTCTAAATATATTTTTTTACTCTCACTGTCACCAGTGATGGAATCTGAACATGAAACAGGACATGGCCGCTATAACTACCAATAAATCACACGTGTCAGCAGTATCTAGGGGAACCTGTGCTGTCACTTCTTCAATTTGCTGCATCTGCATCTCCAATAAAGCCTGCTGTTTCTTCATCTTCTTCTTCATTTTCTTCTTCTTGTTCTTGGACATTTTGCCTAGATCTGGTGCTCTTTCTTTAGGAGCTGTACTCACTGTAAACAAGAATGTAGTAGTTTGATAATTTAAATTCAATACTTCCAGCAACAGCATATATTGGTCACAAAACTGACCTGAATAATACATTTTTTTCTGACATAAGAATATATAGATGAAATTGTTTACTGTTAAACAAAACTTAAGGTCCACTTATTTATTGTTTCATTGTAAATTGAAGCTGAGTCTCAGGTTCACAAGCGATAATATTTGTGTTCGTTTAGTGGTTTTTATATTTCTATATAAAAAATTCAAGTAAACCCCTTACTCTCTCACAAAGCATATCAATATTACAAACTCTTAATCCTGCTAATCTTGAAAAGATTTCTCAGATATATTCTTTAACACTGCAACAGGAAGTACTAGTATTTATATTTTTATATCCTTTTAGCTAACAGGCTCTCGTGAGGAAAACCTTTGACCTCATCATATAATTAGTTTAGTTTTTTTTTTAATTCTGGATGATCAAAAAGGCTATCATTTGAACTACTTTGAAACTGTTGAATTTATTTTAACAAAGGATGCTTCATACCAAACTTGTTAAATTTGGCCCACTGACTCAGGAAAACTAAATATAAAACAGACACTTGCATCAGAAACAGCTCAGTTCATGACAGTTAAGTCTTCGATTTATACTTTAGTTGTGAAAATGTCTATGATATTGCTTCCACCGACCTCATATTTGTAAGAATTTGATATTGTGTCCATTTTATGAAATATATGAATAAAAATTTTAACATATGAACAGATAATGAGTGTGGATGGGAGATGTCATTTAATCCTTCTCTTTCCAAAGGAACTGCCTCATTACCATTTATCTCGTTTTTTCTGTTAACTGCCTTGTATTTTTAAAGGACTATCACCATAGTTTGATAACAAATTCAGTTTGGGGAATTATTTTTTGTAAAGTGTATCTATAAGCTAACATGTATCATGATATACTGCAGCAGGAAAAACAACTTTATAATGTAAACATGTAGAATGAAAATGGATGTATCCACTCTAGGATCTTACACATTCATTGTTCTCCTGTAAATTATCCACTTCTGTACTGTATCTGATTGTATATTGTATTATATTGTATATACTGATAAGCTGTAAAGTTTAACTTAACGATAAAGAAAGAAAGTACCAAAACTTGTTTTTTCTCTTGCAATTTATCATTGTGTAAATTAAACAAAGGGTTAAAATTCAATTAACTTTTAATTCACAGAATGCAGTGTGTTCAGCAAGATCTAATTATAAAAATGAAAATGTCTAAATTTGCACATTTTATTAAATTGTGATCTTTAATTTCAAAAGTCATACTATCTTGCAAGTCCCTCTGGCACATATATAAATCACCACCCCCAAAACCACACAAAAACTCAACAGATGTAATTCCCTAATATGTCTGACATTATCCTCCTACGTACCAGCTGATCCGGGAAGCTTTGCTCCCAGCTTCTGCCATTCACAGGCGTCCGCTGCAAGTTTCCTTATGTAAGGTTCGTCAACACACATCAAGACGTTTTCAGGTTTTATATCAGTGTGAATTATTTTACATTTGTCATGGAGGTACTCTAAGGCTTGTAAAACCTACAAAACAAATACAAAAACAATGTAAATTAAATGTCGGATTTGACCTATGACTAAAGTGAAATTATCAGTGCAGAAATCTAAATAATCAATACTTTCTGGTTGCAATTCTTTAACACTATAAAAAGTAGAATTTTTAAAGAATTATTATTCATGAATATCACTTAAGGAAATCTAACATTGTCTTTTTTTAATCTAAATTTGAAGCTACTTCTCATGGAAAGAAAAAAATGTAAATACAAGAAAAAATTGATTTTTAAAATTCTTCAGTACATAGCACACTATTCATCTAAGAGATTCCCTTGATGCAATATCAAACAATAATCACATCAAAAGCAAGCTTTGACAAAGGACTCAAAATTGATTCTTTTTTGTTGTTGTAGATGTCTTTGAAAGGCACAAAATTAATAAAAAATCTTTGAAAGTAAAGTTACTTTATGCCATATTTTTTAATCCTTCAGAAGACTAGTAGGAAACAAAAGAGACACTTTCATCATAGACATTGAAATCACTCACAGAGGATGAAGAGACCAGAAAATCACCTGTTTAATGATGTGTTTAACATTTTGTATAGGAATTCCTTGATAATTTGAACGGATTATTAGTTTAAGTAAATTGTGGCCCAGGACTTCAAAAACCATGCAGACATCTGAAGTAGACTGTTAAGGAAGACATTTATTTCGTAGGTAACCTGTATAAACTAGTTTTATCAATATCACTAAGCAGACTAATGTTTCATCAGACCTAAGCCTCTTATATACTATTGTTTTAATGAAGGATACGAGTGCCATTGACCCCAGAGATTTTGAAGTCATCCAATAGTTGCACAGTTCGTTCCCTGAATGGGTCATTTTCATCACTATCTCGAACCTGAAAAAGCACAGCAAAGATGAATCATTCAAAATTATGCACAAAGTAAGAAGCAAGATATTTAATAGGAACTACAAATGCAGAAAATGTTCTATGAAATGTTCTATGCATGCTTTTCATCCTTCAATTGTTCACTCTTCGTATCAATGATACAAAACTTGTGTTGAAATAGCAAGAAATTGGTCAAATTTAGATAATCTGAATGATAATTTAAACATATTGGTAACTTGACATATTGAGTTACCAATGATTATCTAGAAAACTTACACATTTCAGTAATTTGATTTCATCCAGAGCAGTCTCTGTATAATGTTGTGCACTTTTTACAACCTTCAAAGCAACAAATCTCTTCGCTCTGAAATACCAGATCAAAACATTACATGTTTTATAGATATTTTCAAAACCCAAGGCAGACCAGATTGACATTGGTATCATACATATATTCACTCTGGTTTACTCAATGAATAAGCAGAACATATCTTAATTTGATTTTAATCTAATACACCTTCCCCCTTCAGAATAAGACACAGCTAAGACTTAAGAGAGGGTTTACTGAAACATTTACAACTCATCTGCTTATGCAAATACTTATGTCACGTTCAATAAAGACCCTAGTCTAATATATTTTTTTTAATGCTTAACTATTCTGCTCTAGAGCTGGCTTTCTGATTTGTGAGGAGATGATGGCTCTCTGTGACAGAGAGTGCTGTCAACTTCAATAAATTTCACAAACAATCATGCTGCCAACAGAAATAATTTGCTTTCCATTTTTACTGAACAACTCCAACAAAACTGAGTTTAAAAGATTCAATCACACTAGTACTATATATAGAACAAAAACAATTACATGTACTGGTACCCAGTCCTAGTAGCCATACTGTAGAGAAATGTCCCCTTACTAAATATAGAACAATGATTACTAGTACTCACATCATGTCCCAGCATAGCCATACTGTAGAGAAATGTCCCCAGCCTAGCTTCCTGATCACATGGTATTTGTTGTTGAAGAGATCTCCAATCTTTACTGGGTGGTATCCACCTACAACACATATTGCTCAGTATTTATAATGCTGTTTTTACCCAACATTTACTTTGAACTACATGTACCTTAAAATATCTTTATCCTTTGAACATAATGACACTCTTTTAAATTAGAAACTGCATATTATAAAGTATTACTGGCAATTACTTCATCAAAATCAAAATTTGATATATAGAATAAGAATTATGTATCTTAGTTTAGTCTACTTGTGTACTAGGTTATATTGAAATCAGACTAAAACTGGGGGAGTAGAATTTTGAATGAACTTCACAGAAATTTCTATTTTTAGTTACCATGAATGCACCCTTCATTGAAATCAAAAACCAATAAAAAGAATTATGAATCTTAGTGTAGTCTATTTGTGTGCAAAGTTATATTGAAATTAGACCAAAGCTGTAGGAGGAATAGCATTTTGAAAGAATTTCACAGAAATTTCTGTTTTAGTAACCATGGCAACACTGTTCAATAAAATCAAAAACTATGCATCTTAGTGTAGTCTATGTGTGTACCAAGTTATATTGAAATTGGACCAAACTGTTGGAGGAGAAGCATTTTGAAAAATTGTTTACAGAGTAATACAGACAGACACCTTATTATCGTATCTCTTTTCGTCTCTGACCATGCAGTCAAGCTAAAAATAAATCTTTTGTTGTACAATCTAGTATACAAAACCAGAAGTCTCTGATGAGACTGTAGCTCTATTGGTTGTACTTATAAAGGAAGATAAAAGTAGCACTTGGACTTTAAACTTTGCAACAGCAATGAATAGAATAATGATCCTTAGTTTAGTCTGTTTTTGCGGCAAGATTTTTTGCAATCAGAATAAAACTGTAGGAGGAGTAGCCTTTTAAAATAATTTTACAGAAACTTCGATTTAAGTTACCATGGCAACATCATTAAACAAAATCAAAAAGCAATAATGACAATTATGTATGTCAGTGTAGTCTACTCGTATGCCAAGTTATAATGAAATTAGACAAAACATGTAGGAGGAGTAGCGTTTTGAAAGTATTTCAAAAAATTTCTAGTTTTAGTAATATTGGCAACACCATTCATCAAAATCCAAAACTGGTATAGAGAATTATGTATCTTAGTATAGTCTACTTGTGTGTCAAGTTATATTGAAATGAGATCAAAACTGTAGGAGGAGTAGCGTTTTGAATGTATTTCAAGGAAATTTCTATTTTTAGTAACCATGGCAACACCGTTCATTAAAATCAAAACCCGATATAGAGAATTATGTATCTTAGTATAGTCTACTTGTGTGCTAAGTTATAATGAAATCAGATCAAAACTGTAGGAGGAGTAGCGTTTTGAAAGTTTTCACAGAAATCTCTATTCTTAGTAACCATGGCAACATTGTTCATTGAAATCAAAAACCGATATATAGAATTATGTATCTTAGTATAGTCTACTTGTGTACCAAGTTATACTAATTCAGACCAAAACTGTAGGAGGAGTAGCGTTTTGAAAGTATTTCACAGAAATTTCTATTTTTAGTAACCATGGCAACACAGTTCATTGAAATCAAAAACCGATACACAGAATTATGTTTCTTAGTGTAGTCTACTTGTGTGCCAAGCTATATTGAAATCAGACCAAAACTGTAGGAGTAGCGTTTTGAAAAATTGTTTACAGACGGACAGACAGCTAGACAGACAGACGGAAGGACACCTTACTATCGCATAAGCTCTTCTGGTCTCTGACCAGTAGAGCTAAAAATGGTCACACCATAATGATTCTACATTGTATGACCCTTTCAATATCACTTCATTCAATTATGATATCCATCAAATCTGTAAATAATGTCAAAATTATTGTTGCCATGGTAGCATCATGAAATTCACATCTGCCCCAGCCCGACGCCCCCTCTATGCATTTTTTTATGTGACATTGATACAACATCTGTTTATCATGTTTATATGTGTATAGCTACAAATCCCTAGGAAATGTCATTGAGTGCCGATTCCCTATGGACTTGCTGAAACCTTTTCTAATTTGGCCTGCACCATAACAGTACCATTTTTTGTAGACTTTATATACTCCTTTCAGATTTTATTTCTCCATCTATGTGCACACAGAGGATGAAATCAATCTCTTTATTTAATCAACCAGTTCCTTCATCATTCCAAAGATTGGAAACTTTCCCAGTTCCGATAACCAAAATGAAGCAAATTAATTTCCAATCCATAGTTTACTGTGTTTTATTACTTTCTGTAGACATATTATAGAGTTGTAATGTCTGTAGGAGGGGAGTTCATCTCCTACAGATCTTCATTCAGGCAGAAAAAAAAATCCTAAAAATGATACTTCAACTATTTACATCTTCATAACAACTGCATTATTCCCAATAAGCATGATAAAGACCAATTTTCTGTATAATGATGCATCTTTATATTAAATCGCTATTTGTATTATGATGCATCTTTATATTACACTGCTATATATAGTTGTATAATGATAAATCTTAGGTTTATATTTACACTGTGAGTTGTTAAAAAAAATTAAATTAAAAAACTTTTGTCTGTTTAGTGCACATGTTAAATGAACCATCAGTTTGACTACAAAGCACCCAGCACATGCAGAAGTCATCTACACAAACACAGTTCTACTGAAGTATTTTGAACATCTAGATCAAAGTTCCATGCAAAATCTGAGATGTCTGTAATCTGATAAATGTGCTTTTATTTCAAGTTCTTTGTTTTATTTATTTATTTTATTGAATATTTCAAACAAATTACAATTTTTTTTCATTATCATGTGTCATTTACATTCCATATTAAACAATCCATATGGCAAATACAAGACTAGATCCCAGTCTCTCTCTCTCTCTCTCTCTCTCTCTCTCTCTCTCTCTCCAAATTAAATTCTAGCAGTTTTAATGAGTGACCTGTTCCCAAGAGATATTTCTTCATCCAAAATAAAACACCAAACCTTTTTCACAAACATCAACATTAAATTATACACACACTGAAGTGATTTAAAGTGAAGATTCAAATTTAGCTTCTCCTATAATCATCTCCCAATCTCCTACTTCATTACTCTGTAATCAATTTCTGTTGTTCATCCAAATAACACTGAAGGACACATAAAAAGTAGAAAGGACAAAGTCAATTTCTGGAGATAAAAAAAACAATGTTCAGCACATCTTTCAGTATATAAATATATACAACCTTAAGCAAGAATATGCATCTTTAATAAAGTAGCTTTTAGACCAAGGTGTTGTCTAATCCAGACGCCACTGGTTTCAAACAAATTGTCCGGATTACGGAACATTCTGGCTAAAACTACATTTTTACAAATGAATTTACTGCAAGAGACTTTAAGTTTACACCGTTTTGCTGTGTTTTTCTACTAAGCCAACTGTGAAATTGATTTGAATGCCATTTTCGTGTATACTCACACATAGAAATATACACGGAGAAACTCGCGATAAAGTGACGTCACAATAAGCTACAGAAACGTTAATAAAAATGTAACAATATAGTGCAGAAAATAATTCAAACACTGAGTATATTTCTAGTGCTTTTGAACATGTAAAATGTAAATATAAGGCATGTTTTTAAGTTTAGTGTGAATTAATGGTATGTAAATCACACAGATTTGCATGTAAGCATATATTTTTCATGAAGTGATAGCGTACTTCATGAAACATGCCTACATGACTAGTCTGTGTGATTTACACACTAATAACTCACACAAAACTTAAAAACATTCCTTAATTAGACAAGATTTCAGCTTACACAACATCCAGATTAGACAAGTTTCACTGTATACATTATGCAACATTCATACTTAAGGTATAATTTTCCTAGTTTTTTTTCTTCTAAAACACTCACACACCTCCTCATTCTTTTAGTCCACAGGTTAATCTGCTGCTGTCATTTATTTATTCCTTTCGTCTATTGACATTCTAATGAGATAAATATATATTATTATAACAGTAACTTGATCCGAAGAGCCGTATTATGTCAAGTTGACAGGCGCGGATCATCAGATCAAACGAGACGCGAAGCGTCGAGTTTGATCTGATGATCCGCGCCTGTCAACGAGACGTGATACGGCTCTTCGGATCAAATTACTGTTATAATGATAAATTTATTATATACCCCTTTACAATTCCGATTCTGAAAATAAAAACGAAAATTCAAGCTGAAAAAGTGATAAAAGAAATTCAGACACTGGAGATTTAACCCTAGTCGTCAGCGTGAAAATCCAACGTTCTAACCATAAACCATTCACTTTTTTGCATCACTTCCTGTCGAGACCGGAAGTAATGGCGACACACGATTTTCATACTATGCAAATAAACTGATGACGGATTATCAGTCCTGAAAGTTTCAGACTTCAGTCGTTTATTGTTGACGAGGAATTGTGAGAACAAATTCTAATTTTGAGGACAGGAAAACCACGACCGGAAGTGAATTTTATAAAAAATCTCTAACGTGTCTCTAGACATTGCAGTATCTACAACATGTATTAAAACATTTCAATTCTTTTTCTATAAGCGATATTTATGAGAAACTTAAATATCGAAATAACGTATTTTATTTCCTAAAACCGGAAGTTGACGTTTTAGTTTCCGGATTCTAACATATTTTAAAACAGCGAAAGAGATGCAATAAGGTGATGCAAGTTTTAATTTAAACAAGAAAAGTTGAATTTTTTCATTTCTTTGATCACTTCCTGTGACGACCGGAAGTGACGGCTGACAGTTTAACCCAAATGTTTTTGCTTACTCTTCAAAGTCTATTACTCATGTAACTTTGTTGTCTTAATCTCTTACCGTTTCTGAGATCTCGCTCAGATATTTTCTTACTTTGAGGACAGAAAAACACGCGACCGGAAGTGAATTTTGCAAAGATATTTGACGTTAGTCTAGACATTTGCAATCTGAATAACTTATCTAAAAATCATTTCAAATACTTTACCTATAAAAGATATTTATGGGAAAGTAAAATACTCAAATTATGTAGTTTTTCTCTTATAACCGGAAG